AATAATTTTTTGGTCACGATTAATAATTTTTTTGGTTACAATTAATAATTAGTGAATTATTTGTGACCACCACCAAAATCGTTTGTGATCACCACTAAGTCACAAATCACACACAGAACACACAAACACCGCCAACACCACCCAAACACGGAACCACGTCCGCCACTACCACTCCAACGACGACAAAAACCACTATCTCACTACAAAATGGGCGATTTCGACAATCCAAAAACCCTCCCAACAACACCAACACACACCAACACACCGAACAACAACAAATTCGCCGTCAGATCCACCAAAATCGCCGCCAAATCCGCCATAGCCAACAACAAACATTAACCATGCAACCACCATTTGACCGAAAAACCACCACAGCAACCACTGACAAACGTCAACCATTAAAATCACCATACCCATCCAATCAAAATCAAAACAAAAAAAAATAAAAAAGGAAAAATCACATCTGCAGCAGCCCCGTGAGCGTGTCACACATTCACGGCGCCGCTGCCTACTTCAAATTCACGAGGCCGACGTCGATCCATACCAGATCACGGTGGTACAGATCTAACCACAGCACAAAAAAAACCCCAATCACCTCCGCCTCATGTCGCACGCACACCCAAGATCTGTGAAAGAATGGGAGAGATGTGAGATCTGGAGGGAGCTCTCGCCGGGGAGGAGATGTGTGGTTGGGCGACGGTCGTTTAGGGGCAAAGCTTGCCCCGAGTTGTTGGTGGCGGAAGGCCCTGTTTTGGGGTTGTGTTGATTGGTAGGTAGAAAGATAGAGAAGGGTGGAAAGAGTGGAGACGACGAGACACTGAGAGAGGGTGGAAATGGATTACTTATGGCGGTTTCTTCGTATTAATATTAGAGTTTGATTATATATAATTATATAAAAATAAAAATAAAAAATTATTTTTAAATTATTAATTAAAACCTCATTTTTGAAATGTTAAATTTGTTATTTTATTTATGAAATTGGAAATCTAATTCCAGGTATAGGTGTAATTTCCTCTTTCTTTCTTTCTCTTTTTTTTTTTTAGTTTGATTAGATATAATTATATAAAAATAAAAATAAAAAAACATTTTTAAATTATTAATTAAAACCTCATTTTTGAAATATTAAATTTGTTATCTTATTTATGAAATTGGAAATCTAATTCCAGGTATAGGTGTAATTTCCTCTTTCTTTCTCCTGTGTTTTTTTTTTTGTTTAAAGAATTGGCCTATTGGGCTTTCCAATTTACCAGCCCAATGGAAAAAAATTGAAACAAATAAAATATAATCTGACCCAAATCCATTTAATCCAATATCATCTCTCGGCATCGAAGGAGATCCCAAATCGGCAAATCCCAACTTGGAGGCTAAAACCAGAGAATCTGGAACTTGAATTCTCTCAACACTCTCACTCTCGTCTCTGAGTCTCTCGCCTCTGAGTCTCTCGCCTCGACGCCTTCCATCGGCAGAAGAAGACCGCCTCTGCGTCTCAACGCCTTCCACCACCGACCACCGGCTCCTCTCATCTATTTGGTTAGTCTTTGTACTTTTTCTGAGTTTTCTTAGAATTCCATTTTAATGGGTAGATTGAATTCCTTGGACTAAGATTTGAGCTAGTTGTATGAGAAAAAGGAACATTTTTGAAGAATTATGTTTTGCATTTACCTTTTTCTTATACCAATTGTCGTTTTGGGTTGTCTGATTTTTGAAGATATGCATTATTGGTCATAAATATTATGTTTTTTTTCCTCTCTCGTTAACTCTGGTCACAAACACCTCTGATTCTATTGTAATGGAATTTAGTCCAGCACTTTATGCTTGCTTTTGGTGTCTGAATTTAAATTTGGCATGTTTTCTCCGTATATATTTCAGTCAATTACAGAGTTTTTGTAAGAGGACCGATGTTTAAATTCAAAATTAGACCTTTGTTCTTTATTTTAAATGATGACAGAGAAGTTGTTTAATTTGGGTAGAAGTAAATGTTTGTTGGAATTCTTCCACATTCTTTTTTTCGTTTGCAAGAGCCAAAATTTGACTTAGGGGTTGAATTTCTTGCTGAAATTAGACTTACAAGAGTAGAACAGGGTCAAACTAAGATTAAAATGTTCCAATTGCTATGATCCCAGAGGGATTCTGGTGTTGCCCCTCTCCTTTGTCTTCCAAAAGTCACTCAAGACATAGAATCATGTAAACAAGCCCAATCATCTCCTCTGGATCCTAGTAGTTAAGTTCAGAAAAAGAAAAGCTCGTAAAAGGAGAAAAAACCCCAGTGTAATTGTATAACAATATCAAAATATGAAAACTCGCAAGGAACTAGTGTAATTTATAAACTATGTCATTTTTAGTATTGTCGTAATATTGTTTTATATTTTTATCATCATTAAATTCATGGCCAAAAAACTCAAAAGTTTGGCGCTGATTAAATTGTGCCCCGCACTGAACAATATATTTGGCTCCGCCCCTGGCCCTCCTATAATTTATTTTTCTGGCGTGTGTATTCCGGATAGAGAAGGATCTGTGTATAATCTGAAGTTTTTTATTTATTTTTTTAATATCATGGCAAATGGTAATAGTTTTTCAGGCGACAAAGAAGTTTACGTTCAAGTTGTTGAATTTACAGGTGTAGACTTGAAATCTCGTGATTGAAATGGGTTTTACTCGAGGTATGAAGCGTCCGATTGAAATGCTCTGTAAGAGGCTGAATAGTCCAGTTAATTGCAGCCATACTTATTCTACTAGTCTAGTATACAGGGAAATGTCCTTGACCGGGTTCTCTGAAAATAAACCTATGAATTCTTTCAATTATTCCAATCCAATCCATGGTTTTGGAATCTTCTTTACTCAGAATTACTCCTCTCAAGCATCTGCACCAGAACAAATGAATATAATAAAGCAGCTTAGGGAGAGAACAAGTGCTCCTATTAAAGATGTCAAGTCTGCACTTATTGCTTGCGACTGGGATATTGGCAAGTCTACAGTTTCCCACTTTAGTTTTATTTATTATTATTATAAATTTTTTTTACTTGTGCACTTGTGTTAATTGATAATGAGTCGTATTGGATGACTACAGAGGCTGCACAGAAGGAACTAAGAAAAAAAGGGGTTGTTCTTGCTTCAAAAAAGTCTTCTCGAATCGCTGCAGAGGGTTTGCTTGCTTTGGCACAGAACAAAGAGAAGGCTGTTGTTGTTGAACTCAATTGTGAAACTGACTTTGTTGCAAGGAATGAAATTTTTCAGTACATGGTTAGTGCTACATTTATATCCTAACCCCATACCTGGCACACAGGCACTCAGCGGGAATAGATGGTGTTATTTGAGTTGCAGGAAAAATCATTATCAGTTGGGAACAGTATCTTTTGCTCAGGCAGTACATCAAATGCTTTTGTCAATGTTTATTGATTCCTTACGATTGATATTTATGTAGGCCTTATCTTTGGCAAAGTCGGCTCTGTTGCTTGAAGGTTCTAAACAGTCTTCTCTTACTATGCCTGTTGGACCCGAGTGTCTGGAGGTGAGCAGTCTTAATTGTTAATCTCCATAAGAAAGCTATTCATTTCTATCTACGCAATTAGAGCATAATTCTATCTTGCTTTCATTACCTTCATATTTTCTTTCTCATGATTTTTCTTGGCTTTCACATTCTTAGGTATTAAGTATGCATTTCGCTATCAACCTCCTTGGAACCTACATGCTCTTTTTAATGAGAGGATGCATATTAGTTCTTCATTCTTATGCTCATTTCAGCTTTAATCGATGTTCCTGTAAAAGCTCTGATAAGTTCTTCGGTTTTTACAGGATTTGAAGATGAATCTTGACCATCCTAAGTTAAATGGAGAGAAAACAGTTCAAAATGCAATTACAGAACTAGCTGCAATGATGGGAGAGAATGTCAAACTTGGAGGGGGTTTCGCAATGTTTGTGCCATCATATGGTGTCTTGTCTACTTATCTTCACCAGAGCCCCCAACCAGGTAACGAGGCTTCAATTCTTTATTATGGTTGACATTACAAATTTTGCATGCATGCAAACACAATCATACCTCTTAATTCGTTGCCATGAAAAGATATTTTGAGCTACTCATATGGATCTTTCTGGCTTTTTATTGGAGATCCAGGTGTAGGACGTATTGCAGGACTTTTATCACTCGAGATAGAGGATCATAATGCTCCAGTGGATGCTGTCCAGCGTGTTGGATCCGAAATAGCAATGCACGTGGTGGCTGCAAAGCCACTGTTCTTGGCGAAGGAAGATGTTTCTCCTGATGCATTAGGCCATGAGCGTGAGATTCTCAAGTCTCAGGTACGTACTTGTATATTGGAAATTCTAAAAATTTAATTACAATTGCATCTCATCATGATCCACATTGTCAATATTAGTGTTATTTAGGAATCTGACAACATCCAACATTGCATTTTCAAAAGAATACAAAAGAAATTAACATATGTTTTCCCCACCTCTGTGATTTATAATGTGGTATAATTCTTTTATTGCTTCTTTGACACTGCAGTCTATTCCTGAACACCAATTCTTAGTTTTTAGCATTTTTATCAACTTTTTATTGTAATTCAAACTCTCATGCCGAAACCCTCAAAAGAGGTGCAATAAGAAAAAGGCCTTGATGAATGAGGATGGTATTATTTTTTGTTAGTATTGTCATCTAACAATGAAGCTTATCTGTCTATTTTTACACCTGCGACAATATGTATTTCCATTGACGAAAACTCTTACTATTTGTTTGTCCTTGTGTCCAGGCAGAAAGTACAGGAAAGTCTCAGATGGCCATAGATAAAATGGTTGAAGGCCGTTTAAGAAAGTATTTCGAGGAAGTAGTTCTAATGGAACAAAAGTTTGTCGTGGACGACACTTTAAATATAAAGGTATGATCTCAGAAATGTCATTGTTTGTAATTTCTTCTTCTTCTTCTTCCTTTTTTTTTTTTTGAATTTAGCTTTCAGTCTTAAGCTTCAATATATTTATTGTGTTTGACATAATGTAGCTAAACTTAATATTTATCTCTGTTGCAAATTTGTACCTTTCTTGGAAGTAATTTTTGGAAATGAGCTAACTGCCAAGTAATGTGAGACCACCAAGTTATAAATTGAGGGTAAAGGTAAAGGAGTTGAGATGCCTAATGTTGGGAGAGGGCAAACAATTTGCATTGAACAATAAGAACAAATTCTTCTTTATTCTTTTTTTTTTTTTCCCTTTGTAGGCTTGGCAGTACTTGAAACACTCGAGTTTGAACTAGGTGTAATTGTAAAAGACTACGGCATTTTCAATGCCTACAGAAACTAAGATGATGTTTTTCAAATCGATGCAAGTAAATTGGATTAGTGCTATTCATCAGCACTGCTTACCCATAAACAGTGATGTAGCATTTTTAGGTGGTTTTAATTGATTTGCCAACTTAATTTAGCATTACTCAATAAATTGTAACTGTATTGAAGTTTTTCCAGTCAATGATACTACCTGCTGTGGTTGGCCTTGTTACCACCGGTTGTGTTGGATCCAACTGCTTTTATAAAGTTGTGCCATGCAGTTAGATTTTAGAGTGCCCAGTTCTAATTGACCTTTTTATTGTTCTTGCAGACGCTATTGAATAATGTATCCAAAGAAGTGGGGTCGCCGGTGAAGATTGGAAACTATCTAAGAATGGAAGTTGGGGAAGGACTTAGAAGGTAAATGTTTCATAATGTTCATTACTTTATAACATTCTACTTGCTGCTTTTTACCTGCATGGACTTTTTGTATTTCAGTTCAATGTTTTCTTATCTCCCCATATCATATGCTCTTAGTATGTGGCTTATATATTATTGCTTGGGTGCAAGAAACATTGTGCTCTATGATATTTGTGTAAATTGACTTGTCCTGCAATGTACTAATGCTGGAAAATGTTCAGACAGTTCCAGTAATCGTATCGCCTTTCAAATTGGAATCCCTCCTTCACTCTCTCCTCCCATTCACAGTTACTGTAATTTCATAGCATGATATTGTTGGAGATTGGAACTTAATATTTCATTCCCTATAAGAAAAGGGAAAGAATTTATGTTTCTTATGTACAAGTTGATACATGTACATGTTTTATAGTGTATACTGTATATAAATTGTGTAACACGAACAAGATGTATATGACCTATAATAGGTTTGTTGCTTGAATTTTGTCGGGTTATATAAACATAATTCAATTAATGTTATCTTCGAAATTCTCAAAGACAGATCTTAGTTATATCTATTTTTGCTATGACATTAGATAACTCGCAAGAGAGTAGAAAAACAGAAGTGGTTTAAAGTGAGGTCCTTGATGATATTTTATCTAATATCCTTACCTCTTTAGAATTTTTAACAGCACTTGTACTCAGTTTGTTGCTTTTCTTTAATCTGCCTTTCCTCAATTGTAATAACTGCTTTCAGAGTTAATTTTATTACCTTATTTTCACATTTATTATCTACACTCTTGCAGGCTTGAAGCTTCCAGTAAAACTGAACCTCTGGCTGAGGCTGCTTAGAACTAGGTAATTTGTTCCATGATAAGATCTGGATGTTATTGTAGCACCTGGAGACAATTTTTAGCCAGATAACTTTTTCTTGTGTGCACGAGCAAGCGCTGGCACTTATAATCGATGTCCTGATGTGATATATCATCGAGGGCTTTAGAGCCAAATTTTGTTATATTATAGGACTAGAACACAAATAATAATGCTAATTGTCGTCTACTTATTTATTTTGGCGTCCATTCCAATATAATTGACATTGCCAAGATTGCTCCTCAAAATTCTGATACGAAATCGCATATGATTGGCAGTAACTCTCATTTTCATGACCACCATGATTTTACAGAACTGGGGCATAAGGAGGCTGGAAGAGACTAGAACTAACAATCCTTTTGCACTTTGTAGAGTCAAAGCATGACACTTGTTTGTTTTACTGCATCATTAATTTATTTTCACAAAAATATGCACATGGAAGTTCTGCATAGCAAGTGATTTTGTTTTGGGGGTGGGGTGATTTTTTTTCTCAGCCATTGATGACCTGATTAAAGCAGTGATGATAGAGCTCAAAATGCACAAAGCTTTTTACTGAACTTTGTGGTACATAGGCACAGAGAAAGTCTTCCGGCCGTAGCAAGGACGAATTTTAGAAATCCTGAATATCTTCTGTTATAATTCAAGAATGTTGAAAATTCTGCACATGAGGTTACCTATCTGAGCCAGTGTTTATCAATGTGATAGCTGATGGGGAAGGCTTATGTGAGGTGGAATGGCTTAAAGATTTTATTAAGAGGTTATTGGCTGGTGGCCACCTGCATTCGAGTCAAACCATATCTAAAGTCAAAAGGATAATTATTATTCCTCATTTTTGAAGATTAAAATCAAATTTTCATAAATGTTGATTACATATGTGATTGAAAAGTTTCGGGTTTCAATAAAATTAATTGTCGACTTTGATAAAAATCTAAATTTTAATCCATATCGTGTTTAATTTTGCTATGTTAGGTCAATGGGGTCTAGGCTAGGATGTAATTTTAGAGTAGCAAATTGTTATTAAAATATTAATATTACAAATCTGAAGAAGTCAAGTAAATCTCGAAAGGCAAGACCAGTGCAGTAGCCATTACGTATGTATAAGTAACTACTCCACCAAAATAATTGAGCGTGTCAAGTACACAAATTTTGAAATTAAACCACACTGTTTGTCGACAAATAATATCCATTCTGCTGGCATCGTGTGGAATTTATTCCCTGCACTGAGAAACCTTAAAAATCAAGAAATGAGGTATTTGGCAGGTAACAACAAAAAAAAAGTGGACTTTTCATGGTTGTTTTTTGGTAGTCCGTCAATTTCAATTTGTTTCGATTTGATCCCCTATTTATTATTTCAGTTTAACAATTCTATCTATAAGCATTATATTATAATCCCCCGTTTGGTTTTCATTTTTTTAAAAATTGTTTTGAATAGTGAATTTTCAAGAACGCGTGATTATGAAGTAGGAAAATATTTTGAATTTACGTGTAAAATATTTTATTGTGTGAATATATTGTTGAAAACGAGTATATAGAAAAAAATTGAAAGAATGAAAAATACAAGCCAAAAACATTTGTGACCCATTCCTTTATCAAGGTGGAAATGTCTACTCATTTTGTGAATCTAGTCAATTGATATCGTTTACATACAAAATAGTCAAATTGAAATGATAATATTAGTTCAATATTCAATTAAAACAATAATTCGGAATAATACTATTTTATCACCTATTCATGTGACAGCAGCACGACCATCACACTATCTAATTAATAAAATTAATATTTTGATGTTAATTAAGTGACATTAATTGATTAAACCTCTTAAAAACGTTAACACATTTAAGATTTTTAATCAACGTTCTACATAAATAACATTTCTAATAAAAATACAATTCAGCTATACCGACAAAAGCGGTGACACATAGATTGGTGAAAAACACCCGCGTTAATAAATAGTATTACTCAATATTATAAGTTAAGTGATAAAATCGAAACAAGATGGTGACCAACACGAAACAAACATGTAAATTGGTGGCCTAAATGTAAATTTGAAAGTGCTTCATGCCATAGAGGTACAAGTTTACTCACCTAATTGTAGAAATTGCAATTGCACCAGATCACCTCTCCATGGAGTTCTTCTGTCGGCCACGTGGCCCACGTCGTATAGATGTCTTCGACACGTAGTAATTAACTGCCTAGCCAAAAATTTCAAACTTTTATAAAAGGAAAAGAAAATCCCCCAAGAAGTCATCTTCAATCTGAACCTGAATCTGAAAGAGATATTCGCCGCAATAACTCAACTTATACGACATCATTTTGATCGCCGGAAAACCCCATTCCACAAAATTACTCATAGGGATACATACCATCGAAAATGCATTTACTATTTTATAATATATCTGTGGGTGTGAACGTAACTAATAAATGTGCATGTATGTGACTTTGATGGCCATATAACAATATATATATACGTTTCTATATGTATAAATATCTGATCTTGTAAAGTGTTGAATTCATTTCGGAAGATGGGTAGTGTATTGGAGGCAACAATAATCCATCATGTGTGCATAGTGCTGATTTTGCTATGGTTACTTAATTCATTCAAGTGTTGCCACCCAGTTGCCTACTTTCTTTCCATCATCTATCTCTATCTGGTGAGTAGTTTTACGATCTTACTCTTTTTGGATAAGTAGTATAATTTTCTAGATTTTTGTAAAGATTCGGGTTATTCTTTTGTTGAATTTGAAGGTCCATGAGTTGTATGAGACGAGATTGAGAAGGAAACTGCAGTTTGAGGAGAGAAGACAATCCAATCAAAGAAGGGTATACAAATTTTTACTGGGTTTTCTCAGTTTATTGCCCCCCTTTTTTCTTCAATTGTCTCTGTGACCCCTCTGTTCTTTATCCCTTTCTCCCTTTTTTTTTTTGTGTGTGGGGGTGAAAGGTTGGTTAATTGAATAAACAAAAAGTGAAAGAAGAATGGGAACAGAAAAAGAGTTGTGCAATTGATTTTTTTTTTCCTGATTCCAGCTTTTTGTCAATGCACACTCTTTATCAATGGTGGGCCGTTGTTGCACAATTCTTTTTTCCCTTTTCCTGTTTTCATGGGAATTTACTGCCATTATAGTAGATCCATGTAATTTGTATTTAATATTTTTATGTTAGGTGCTCTCGGATTCGGAAACTGTGAGGTGGTTGAACCATGCTATTGAAAAGATCTGGCTTGTCTGCATGGAAGAAATAGTTTCTCAGAAAATTCTTCTCCCAATTGTTCCATGGTTCTTGCAAAAATATAAACCTTGGACTGTGGTATGAGTTAATTTTTTTTTTTAAATTTATAACTGAATTCTGCAAAATTTCAATGCTGGATTAAAGTTACATTTTCTGTTTTATGCTGTACTTTTGAAACTTAAGTGTTCTGATTCTGATTAATGGTCTCTTGGATGGTTAATGGTTACAAAGGTGGCTCTGGTAATTGTCTGATACCGGGATCCTACTGTGGTTCTGAATTCAATTAATGAGAATCATATTTTGCATGTATGCAGAAGGATGCTGCAGTTCAGCATTTGTACTTGGGAAGATCCCCGCCTATATTCACTGAAATGAGGGTGCTTCCGGAATCCAGTGGTGATGATCACTTGGTATGCTAGGGTCACTGGTAACTGGGATCTGAATGTACCTACAGTGGTTTTTGAGCTATCTATGCATAACTTTGCGACAGAAATTTTAATATATAACTTATCTGCAGGTATTGGAATTGGGAATGAATTTTCGTACTGCAGATGATATGAGTGCAATTATTGCAGTGAAACTGAGGAAAACATTGGGATTAGGGATGCGTGCAAAGTTGCATTTGTTAGGCATGCATGTTGAAGGAAAGGTAGGTAAAAAGTTATATCATGTAGTAAATAATACTTCAGTCAGTGCATCAAGCTCTATATCTTGTAAGAAAAGTTTTGGGTCATATGTTACTTTTCATGAAATTTAGAATCATATTGCTTATTAAATTGGTTGAATGTATATCCCTTCTAGATGACAAATCCATTATATTTTTGTTGCTTGTTTGGAAATTGAAATGTATTAATTGCAAAGTAGATATCCTAGATTATACAAATTTTGTTAGTTTTTGACATTTTTTAACCAGTGTCGTCCCATTCTAAGGAGATTTCTACTGTCGATTTACTGAGATGATGAGTATATGCCCTGTATTAAGCCAGTGCTTGCCAACCAGTGGCGATATTTATGAATTCCTACAAGTACAACTGATTTGGAAGGAAGATTTATGCACCCTCTCTTGTAGGTCTTGATTGGGGTGAAATTCCTTCCCTATTGGCCCTTTCTTGGGCGTTTGCGGGTATGCTTTGCCGAGCCACCATATTTTCAGATGACTGTGAAGCCTATATTCTCTCACGGCCTTGATGTTACAGAACTTCCTGGGATAGCTGGATGGATAGTAAGTACATGTTATACCACAATAAAAATCCTTCTCCATTCATCCAGAGTCTAGCCCAAAAACTTATCCTTAAAAAAAGAATGATGAATTCAAAATTCTCTTTTCTCTATGTTGTTTGTCTGCCTAATTATTTGCATATTTTGTTTACTTGATTAGGATAATATTCTGGCCCTTGCCTTCGAGCAAACTCTGGTGCAGGTGAGATTATTAGTTTAGTTCCTTGTAGAAACATTTAGCTTATCACATATGTTCATTTTTCTATGTTTGGTTGTTTTTAGTATAAGGCGTATGTATATTCCTCTTCAAATCAGATTAAAGCACAAGCAACATGTAGGTTTGAGAAGCAAGAAGCATTCTGTAAAATGCTTTGTGGGCTAATTCTTTGTCATTTTGCAGCCCAATATGCTGGTGGTTGATGTTGAAAAATTTGCTTCACCTCAACAAGGTTTTACCTTTTACTTAGTAATTGATTTTCAAATTCTTTGTTGCAAGTAGTTCGGTTTTATTAGTCATAATATAATTTTCAAATCTAGTACAAGTTCATATGAGTCATGTGTGTCCTGTTCTATGTAAAACAACATTGCTTCATGATAATTGGATTTTTATGTAACCAATCAGGGAGAGTGTAGACCTGTTAATTGAAATTTTGCAATTGTCCTCGGGAGAGAGTCTAAAGATGTACGGATGTGTGACTGCACTGATGAACTCTTTATCTGATAGACCGTTCTCGAAAAAGAAAGACGAAGCATTGTATACAAGTGAAATATAAAATTTTTGTCCATATTTCAATAGTTTCTACAAGGGTTTGAGGTTGATTAAGCTCAAGCATAACTGTTATATAAGCATGTTTTGGAAATGTTTATAAACTATTAAAATTATAAATAGATGAAATGAGTGGTGGATAAGTGGGTAGTACTTGTGGGTCTTTCAAAATGTGTGTATAGAAAATGGCTTGAGTTATTATAAACAGTTTATAAGCATGAGCCAGCATCTCCTGAAAACTGGCAGAAGGTTAAAATCGACCTTGTCTTGCCTTCGTTGGGGTCTTAAATGGATCTAGTAGTTGGGTCATGAGGTCACTGAAAAGATTGATGGAAGGCGGTACTGAAAAGAATGAATATTGACAGAAAAGGTGATTGAATGAACACTAGAATTAATAACAAGAGAAGTGGGTGTCTTCAAGTTGATAAAAGATAGCATACATTTGGAAAATTTATAAATGGTTTATAAAGAGAAATAGTAGTGGGTCTTATGAAAATTGTGGACAATAATGAGCAATAGTTATGAATGTATACTTGAAATTAATGTTTGACCTTTGATTGAATTTATAAACCGTTTAAAAATTTGTATCTAAAGGGAGGCTAGGATGTTTGCATGTGCTTGGTGAAGCAACAGTTTTTTATGCTATTTACATGGTATGCATGCTCATTTGCTCCATATTGTGAGATTCACTTCAAATTTCAAACAAATTCGGAGATGTGTTTATGAGTTTCTTTGCGTGTTCTGTAAATTCTGAATTCTCCACAATTATCTGAGAGGAAATGTTCTCGGATACCATTACTTTTCATTTTTGTGAACCATTGGAATGCACTTAAAAAGAATTTTTCTCAAAATGCGACATTCCTAATGCACTCCACAGAGTGAAATCACATTCCAGAACTCTCTGCTTATAGGACTAGAGAGGAAAGTTGATCAGAAATCTTCTGTCTGTTTACAAATAGGATATGTCTATTGGTGGACATGGTCACATAGATACTCAGTTCCTAAACCTTACCATGCACTAGGTCAAGTACTTGTGAACAATTTCCACATAGAGCAACTGACACTCTGGTCATCAGGTACCCCAAATTTAAATAAGTTACCTGATCAATGCGGCATTTATAAGTGAAACCAACCAAATCAAAATGGTTGATTTATATTTTATTTTTTTGTCTGCATCTGAATCACACGTGAATTGCTTCCAATTTACGCCCAAAAGATGTTTGAAAGCCGACCAAAAAACCTTGAATTCCAGGTGTTTTCTTTGGGGTTTCCCAATATCATTCTCTTTTGCTCAGTTACTAGAAGGCAAATGTCTTCAATGAATGTAGAAGTGGTACCTTCTCTTGTAAGTACATGTTAGACTCAATAGGATTAGATTTGAATCTGATATCTAATTGAATGATTATGTGGGTACTCAATGCAAGAGTTCGATTTTTTTGCAAAGTTTAAGGTCTTCCCTTCCCTTTAACGATTTCTCTTTTATATGATAGGAAATTGGTTCTCAGTTGATGCCAAGGAGCCTATTGCCTATGCCATAGTGGAAATTCTTGAAGGAGCTGACATGAAGCCATCAGACTTAAATGGTTAGTTTGAAGTACTCTGATAATTATGAGACGAAAATTTTGTGATTGTAACTCGCAGTGATTCTCAGGGTTGGCTGATCCATATGTGAAGGGACAGATTGGCCCTTACAGATTTCGGACTAAGACTCAGAAGAAAAATTTATCTCCAAAATGGTATGAGGAATTCAAGATCCCTATCAGTACATGGGAATCGCCAAATTTGCTCATTATTGAAGTTCGTGACAAGGACCGTTTATTTGACGACCTATTGGGGTATGTTCTTGTTACTTCAATAGATATACTGAATCATGCATGACAATGTTTAAATGTTTTGTTTCTTAACGAAGATTTGATCTCTTATTTCTATAAAGGGGCTTGTGCTTTTTATTTCCCCAGTCTCCTGTCCCTTTTAAGATATTGTTCTATCTTGGATCCCTTCTTATCATTTTACTTACAGACATTAATTTTGCAATTAGAAAAGCTACTTCATTTTGTAAAACTTAGTACTCTATTTGTTGAAAGAAAATTTTCCTTATCCCAGAGGATTCTGGATGAAGTTAATTGACATAATTATTCCAAAGAGGTGCTCAATAGAGTAAAACTTATTACTCTATTTGAAGAAGGAAAATTTTCCGGCTTTCTAATGGCTATCCAAGCCTCTTGCAATTGGTTTTTTAGTCTCTTACATCCCATACGTTATTAAAAATGTAACTGAGTTCAATACAAGCATTGATTGCATCTTTATTTTGCCCCTTAGGATCTTATTATTGTCTAGATGCTGAGATGGTAGAGATTCTGATAACAATTAAATATTTACTGCTTTATTTCGACTTTTCACAGAAGCTACTGTTCAGAGGTTCCAATTTTTTGCTGTTCATTAGACTAATTATGCAAATGGTGCAGAAAATGTTCTGTAAACATCAATGATCTTAAGGATGGCCAGAGGCGTGACATGTGGTTGTCCCTTGAGAACATAAAAATGGGAAGATTGCATCTTGCAGTAACTGTGTCCAAAGGCGATACTAAGGTATCTTTTTTTTTCTCTGTTTTTTTTTTCCATATATGTTTATGGCCAATGAATGCAATGCACAATGCTTAGATGCCTGATACTTCCTTTGAAGGTCACACCCTATTTCTCTTGATTAGAAACCCTAAAGACTGGCAACTATTTGTTTATCTGGAGTTCAAAGCATATTGAGAAAAAGTAGTTGATTTTAATTAATTTCACACAATGTTGAATAGGTACATTTTCAGGAGCATACGCAATAATTAATTGGCTAATCACTGACAGAGTGTGTTAATTATGAATAAAAGTTTTCAATTATTGAATGATGAAGGCTAGGGGTCAGATTAAATGTCATTGTTTTACTGTCAACACTTCCATCACAATTGTGGTTCTTTTCTATTTCATTGGATTCATATAAGGAGAAATATATATAAGAGGAAAATGAATTTCGTTATGTGCTGCCACAGTTGTCTCTGTCTTTCACATGTCTACAGGTGTAAATGGGTATGATAGACTCTCTGCATGAATCTGCATGCTTGTTTGTTGTCATATATGAGTTACCATATATTTGTAGTGGTTGAAGAGGGGCTGGACTGTACGTTTAAAAAAGAGGAGCAGAAGAAAAGTTGGCTGCTGGTGCTGTGCTGTAAAGTGTGTAAAATAATAAGATGCAAATAAAAGTTTATTCAGTATTACTAGTGTTAGTATCCTGCTATATCAAACTAAGCTCAAGTATTCTTATTTCATTTGTTAACGAGTCCTCTGTTAAAATGGATAATTACTGTAGCCCTAGGGGCATCATTTGGCAATAACCAATTTGACCATTATTAGTGGATAAAATGATTTTTCTCTCTCCAAACAATTCTATTAGGCAGTCAACAAAGATTTAAGGTATCAAATTATGAGAAAAAGGATGACATGATATGTACAGAACAATATTCTCTCATTGAACATTTTAAAATTTATTCAGACTACTATTTTTCTTAATTGGATCTATTCAGTTGTGTTTATTGAGTTGCTATTTTTCATATTTCAAATTATTTTAAAGTCGAAGTGTCAAGTGAGGACTTCTTATTTTGGTTTAATAAATAGAGTATAGTCTGTCACACTAAGCTTGAACATGTTATTTCCTTTAAAAAAAAATTCTGGATACTTGTTTAATTTAATTATTTTACCATAATTTGTTCTCGCAATTTAAAGACAACTGGAAGCTTGTCAATGAAACATGATGTCATTGGACGTGCATAAATTAGGATAATGACTTTCATTGCCAACCATGAGCGCCTTAATTTCATTACCTGAAATTTATTTCTACTTCTTACGATGTTAAAGTTCATTGTTCAAAACCAACAAATTGTATCTATATTTTGAAGTTATGGGAGTAAAAATTAGTTATTAAGTGCCACTTCACAACATTATTTTCCTACAGAATCTGAAGGTGCCAAACTGCCAATGATCAAGACACATAAGAACTTTGGAGATGAGTTGAAAAATGTGGGATTCTGATTAACGAAGTCATTGCTCAACGATTACTTTCATACAATAGGGACATTGTAAATATATGAATTGTGGCATTGACCATGCATATGTTGATCTCTGAAATTGATGTGGAGTGTTAATTTTGAGATATTGAAGCATAGTGCTCTGTACCTGATTGCTCATGGTATATATTGGATAGCTGTAAGTAGGGTGTAGCAGAGGGTACTTGATCTGGAATAAATGGGCTTAAAGTGCTAGCATGCAATGTTCTATGCATTTAAGTTTATTGTCGAAATGAATGACTCAGTATGACTTTTGATATACTGAAGTCAAGTGATTATTTTGTAGGGTGCAGAAAATGCATGTAATATAGAAGGTATTGACAATGAGCTAAAGGAAAATTCAGTCACAGCTGATGGTTCTCAGAGAGGCTCCTCATTTAGATTATCTGAGAAATCCCCGAAAGTTGCAGACAAGTTTGAGCCGATTAACATTGAAGGGCAACGAGAGACTGGGATTTGGGTTCATCAGCCAGGTAGTGAGGTAGCACAAGTATGGGAGCCACGGAAGGGGAAGAGTAGGCACCTTGAAACTCATCACCTCGATGGACAAGTTCAGGCTGAGGGTGGTGATCCAATTGGCTCTCGAGCATCGACCTCTAGTAGCACTGATGAAAGTATGGATTGTAATAAACCTCATTCAATAAATCCATTTCGTAAAGGCTTACGAAAGCTCAGCTCGGTGTTCCATAGGAGCCCACGAACCCCACAAACTGAGGAGAAATCCAAGAGTCTCATTGAGCCTGAACATGTACGATCTCCAGACGCTAATATTAGGGCGTTAAATAACAAGGAAATTAGTGTGAAATGGATAGTGGATGATACCATTGCTACTCCATATTCTGCAAAGGCTCCAAAAGATGATGAAAGAGAGAATAGGGAACGAAATGAGCCAGAGAGCCCACGACAAGGGAATGCGAAGGATATGGCCAAGGGCATTTTGAAGAATGCTGGAAAAAGCTTGAAATACGTACTTTCCCGGAAAGAAACAAGGAAGTCTAGAACTGACTCGGTATCGACACCATCAGATAATGACACTGCTTCGCAGTATGATTCTTCTGACGAATCGTCTCTTCCATCAACAACAGATGCCACACTTGGGGTTACTGGTTTAGTTATTCCAGGTTCGGTTGTTTCTAGTGCTACATCTCGTGACAATAACTCTTTCAAGACTGAGGACAATATCAATCAGACTAATGCCCGTTCTGGTACTAATTCTTTCAAGTCTAATGATGATATTGTTCAGACTCGAAATGAGCCTACAATAAATAGTATGGAACAGAAAACCAAAGTCGTTCCAGAAGGAAATGAGCCTACACTAAATAATAATGAAATGAAAACCAAAGTCATACCAGGAGATTCCGTGACGATAAACTGATAACCAATTTGTTAAGTAGCATATGCGGAGTGGATGAATAGTTATGACACTTTGTAAAGGTTTGTGCAGAAACGTGTTTGGATTGAAATGTACCTTTGGTAATTAGTTTTTTTTTTTTTTGGTACACTTTTAGCAGATTTTATATGTTGTTTTGGTGTTGTGTCTGGTGTATATGGTGTTCTGAAGGACTTGTTTAGTAGAAATTTTTACTCAAGTTTGTGCAGTATTTGTACACGTTGCTTACAACTTTTTGTAAATTTGTGCACTTTGGAGAAACTTGTACTGTATTTGTGTATCTTTCTACTTTCTATTAGGCATAATAATTTTATTACCTACCTAATCTATTTTAATTAGGACAACGTATTCCATTGCTGGGTTGAAATGTTTATTTTGCTGTCACCAAACATCAATTCTTGCTAAAGTGAAGTGCCATATGAATCACTTTATTGAATTGAATATGAATTTAGCTTAAACATTGAATAATTGGTGCATGGCTAATTGATAAGTGTATTTTATGCACTTATTTGGAGTCCTAAAATATCAATATTTGATAGTTTTTTTGACAAAATATATTCTAAATTGTTGTATTTTATATTATATAGGTAAAATTCAATGGTTGAACAAAGAATCGAAAGAAAGAAGCGAAAAATGGTGAAAAATGACAAAATTCAAAGTTTGAGGATCGAATTGAAAATTCAATAGCTGATTTGGATCACAAAATGATACTTTGAAGATTGTTAGGAGACAATTGGATGGAATTAGAATTCAAAAAGGAATGAAATATGATTAAAATCAATTTCCAATCGCACAAGTTATATTCCAGATTTTTAGTCGAGAATTGAAACCCATTTTTTGCATAGTAAACTTCCGAATTGAGAAAACTCTATTTCAAGAAAAGTTGTAGTCCTCTGAGTTAGCTTTCCAACGCACTTTGGATTGTATCAATCGGATATCAGGAGAGAAAGTTATGGTCAAAATACTGAATGCTGTGTAGAGACAAAATTCGCGCTCGAAGACAATTTTCCTTATCCGATTAGAACTCTTTTGGAAACCAGTTTGGACGTGATTTTCAACCAATTTTCGACTCCTACAAATACAGAACAGTAGAATACATATGGAGAGCTCTCATGTACATATTATGCATTTATCATATTTGCATATTTCATCGAGAGATAGAAATGTCACATCAATGGAATAGATTTGATCGCTATCGAAAGAGACCTCCAATTAAATTAGAAACATTGACCAACATAAATGATTTCAAATTATCACTTTAATTATTACATTAAAAATGGAATAACAAGGAGGATTTGACATCTTAGCAATGCATCTCACATGTTTGAATTCAAACCAATTAAATTGCTTTCTAGTTTAATCAATAATTTAGAAATTAGTATAAAAAACTCAAAATCTATTTGCTATTCGATTAAAGTTACTATTAATTTGAACTTGATTGAATACGTAGTCCTCGTGGGTTCGACACTCTATTCACTACTTTATTACTTGTTCACAATCCCGTACACTTGCGGGAAATCAAACGATCACTAATGAAAGTAGTTATAGGCTTCATCAATCTCCACATCATTTTCCTGCTATGAGAATTATGGATGGCATGACTTTATGATATATTAAGTTATTATTCTGTTGCAGGGTCGATTTCGCTGCTTGTTCTGTTCACAGTATATATTGAAGACGACTTGGGATCCGGGTTGGATGCTCCTTAAGTGAAACAAATATGCTATGAACTCTTAAAATTAGTCTCTCTCGTTTACAAGGTGAACAATTTAGCTTGTAGGGCACTTGCAGCCCAAAGTGTGCGCCACCTCACGCTGGGAGGTGCATTTTCCCAAGAGAGTTTGCAATATTCTTTAGTAAGATTTCAGGAAAATATAATGAGTTGAAGACCTATTTATTTATATCTTTAGAATGATCAAACTTCATAAATGAGCCAACTAACAAGAAATTGGCGAAGTTTCTGCAGTATTACACAAGTTGATAGAAACGCTACAAAGTACTATGTCAACGAAGGTCGGCCAGTTCTTTGTCCATCGTTCTGTTCCCTCTACGAGAAAGAATCACAACACTAAACTTTAGGGGCTCAAAAGACTTAATTTGAAGGTTGAAGACGCATTTGCTTTATGCCTAAATGTTGGGAACTATTTAGGCACTACATGAAAAAGAGAAACAAGACCCCCACAACACCCCCTGAGTCATCTTCAATCTGAATCGTGAAACCGTAAAAGAAATCTTGAACCGTTGCCACCCAGTTGCCTATTTCCTTTCCTTCATTTAAATCTATCAGGAAAGATCCCCACCTATATTCAAATTTGCTAAACTGATATTCTCAAATTTCCACTGGTACATGATTTATGGCATCCCATTTACACAAGGAATAAAGAAAAGCAATTACATGGATTTACGTTTCTGTGCCAATTCTTGAAAACATCGTAACATCTGCTTGATAAACTGAAAAATCATCACCTTCTTCATCTGTTCCTTTCATTCCTGGCCTCGTAGGTAGTAAGCTATTCCGTTTCCTGCAGGAAGGTGCAAGCAATAGACACACTACATCAGCAAGTATAAATTTGAACCCTGCGCTTGTCAAAAGTTGGATCGATACCTCACCCTCACTCACTGAAAGGGATTGATCTCCTCTCAGTTGTTTCAATATGAATCAAAGAAATGAAAGTCTTCAACAAAGCTTGTTGCAGCAGCTCCCACACCTTGTCCAGTGTCTAGACACAGATCTGTAAACTACTTCGGTAGGACAAAGAGCAATAGTTGAACAATGTGATTATCTTTCGGTTCGTATATGACTAATTTTTTATGATATCTTCGTAATAAATATGATCAGAATTAATAATATGACTATCCAAGAAAATACACTGAAGAGCTCGCTTCCATATTCCCATTTTTGGCACAAATCCATGCCTTACCATTTGCCTCAATGCCCAATCTAAATCTTCCACAAGATTCTCACTACAAAAACCATGTATCACCAACTTATAAGACTCAAAGCTCGGTTTCAATCCTCTGTCACTCATCTTCTTCATAAAGTCCTTTGCTTCAACAAACCTCTTGGCATCAAGCAAACAATACAAAACCTCTTGATAAGTCCCCGGATTTGGATCACACCCTTTTACCATCATCCCGTCGAAAAGCTTAATCCCCTCTTCAACTCTCCCTTGTTTCCTAAGCCCCGAAATCAAGATGTTAAACACTATTGCATCTGGCTCCACACCCTCCATTTCCATCCTTTCCAACAAATTAAAGGCTTCATCAACATGACCACGCTCACAAAGCCCGTGCATCATAGTCGAAAAGGTACGCACATTAGGCCTGCATTTTTGCTTAGGAAATTCATTAAGCACAGAGAAAGCAGCTTCCATCTGCCCACACCCACACAACCCTTTAATGATGATATTCAAACAACAAGCATCAATCTCTACACCCAACTTCGAAGCTTCCATGTAAACCTCATGCACAACATCAAATTGCTTGGTTGACACTAGCAAATTCAACACAAAATTAAAGGTTTTCACACTTGGCCAGCTTTTGTAATTAGGCATATCGAAGAGGGTCTCAATGGCCCTGTTTATCCTCCCAGCCGAGTGCCCGTAAATCTTGATCACATTGCGGAAAAACTCATCAGAAAGCCTGCAGTTCCTCTCAAGCTTGATTCTTTGCATGAGGGTTTCAATCCCATCAAAATTATTGGCAAGTGCCAGCTTGTCGATGACAGTCGTATAAAGGGCTTCATTTGGTTTGTAGTCCTTGCGGTCTGAAATTTGAGTAAAGAGAGGCAGTGTTAAATTTGGGTCTTTGAGGATTTCAAAAATTTTGATGACTTCAGATGGGCTTAACCAGTCTTTACGGCTGAAAATATTTGGATTTTTGTCAAGTTTATCGAGGTTTTGGAATGATCCAGAAGAAGAAAATTGACGGAAAGGTAATGAAAAATATAGTTTTTGGAGGCCAGTTGAGGAAAGGAGTGAAATTGGGAAGATTGGTTGGTGGATTTTGGGTATATGAACAAGAAAGGAATACCAAATCATTTCTTTCTTGATGAAAAGGTAATAAAATACTGATTATTTTCGTTCACTCTTCCCGTGGAAACTTTCAGCGTCCATAATACTTATCCCCTTTCAATGATTCTCAGCCATCAAATTTACAGTCCAGGCTGCAGTAAACATGAAAAAATAAGACAAATTTCATTTCTCAAAATGGTACCCTAGGAGAAGAGAAAGTCTGCTGCTACAAACTAATTTAGGCCATGGCTTAACCGAGAATTTCCACATATTCACCGGTCACAGAAACAGCACATCTTTGCTGGGTATAACCACGCTCCACTGGAGCTTCACCAGAGAATGTGCCATGCGGAAATGGTGGTCATTAGTGAGGCATGATGAGAATTAAACAAGGAAATTAGCATTCCAAGCAACACTTGAATCTTTTGACCAAGTATTTCTCATGAGCACAAGAAGCAGCAGGTATTACCTGGACACATCATGTGTTATAAGACTTGAAAGGTCATTTTAATACGTAAACAACCAATTTGATCTACGTGGAATTTTATATGAAGGAAATGATATCGATCTAATAATGGAGTGGGAATCAGAAAAAAAAAAGTGGCAAAATCAGTGGGTTCACGTATCGCAGACACTCGGCACGTGCACAAAAATTGGCTGCACCAGGAGATGTATCTAGATACTGGAAAACACCAATCATCAGTACCTGTTATAATTCATCATCTTCCTCACTCCATCCACCTATTCTAATTGAAAAATCTTCCAAGAAGTTTAATTGAAATAAATTGGCCCACCATCAGTACAGAAAATCATATTTTTTCAAATATAAATATACTATGTGCATATATGCACTCAGGTGAGTGAGGCAACCAAATTATCATATCCAAGCCATTAGTTTAGAACGCCTGCAGTAATAAATCTGGGCAATCAATGGGCACAGAATCCAAAAGCCCTACTTTTTCATCATTGTTC